AATCACCACATCTTATATTTGAAGTAGGTTTTGAATTTCCACATTCACATTTATTATAGAAAGTATGAGTTGGAGGAGGAGTTTCTCCATAAGAATTATTAAATTCATCTCTAATTCTTGCTTGAACGGAGCATTCCAAGCATAAATCTCTTTCAGTAAGTCGATTACAATTCGAGCAAGTTTCTTCTTTATAACAAGTCTTACAGTAAAGAACGAAGCAGTGAGGTATTTTATCACTTTTTTCTTTTTCTTCTTGGCTAATTTGTTTATTACACTTGCTACAGTTCCAATTAGGTTTTGCTGCTAGTTGGCATTTCACGCTACAATAGAACTTACCATTTTCTTCGTAAATAGTTCCGTTATAGCCATTTACCATTTTGCCTAAATGTTGTTGGCAGTTAGCACACTTCCAGCAAGAAGCACAATATTGTTTGTTATTTATAGTTCCATAAGGCTCTGAACTACCAAGAGCCCTTTGGCATTTTACACATGTTATCATATGTTTATATTTTTAATGATATTTGAGTAGCATTAAACATTCAACAAACTATACTCTCATCTTTCTAATGGAACATTTTTAGGTTTTTAAGTGGTCGGTCTTATCAAAAGCACCATGACCTCGATAGGAAAAAAAAGTTCTTCGCTTGGCTTCATCAACTACTAACTTATCAAAACTTTCTCTTTCCAACTCAAACCATTTTTTTAAGCATGACCGACAAAAATAGTCATATTTTTTTCATTTTTCTCCATTGGTTCAATAAAAAATCTCATTCATTTTACTTCAAGATTTTTCTCGATTAATTCATTTTTGGATAAAATCTTTTTTACATTTGCTACATTTAATTATTCTTTCCATAATTTTTAAAGTTGGTGTAAAGTTGTATGTTAGTCCCTTAATTAATTATTTTTTTTCGGTAGTTGATTAGTTTGAGTTTGGTTTACTTTTTGCTGATTTAACTGTTCTTTTAGTTGGTGATTTTCCTCTTTTAAAAGTTGGATTGCTTTATCTTTTTGTTCGGTTAGTTCTTGGATTTGTCTTTCGCGGTGGTTTTTGCTTATTGTTATTATTTCTGCGACGGTTTTATCGCGGTCAATTGCTAACTCTTTTACTTGCTGGCGTAAGTTTAATATTTCTTGTTGGGCGATTTCTAAGTTGGCAGGAAGTTGATAATCGGGGTTTAGGTAGGGAAGGTCTTGTAGTCTTTTTAATAATTCTAAGTCGGGTGTTAAGGCTTGGTTAACTAACTTTGCTCTATTTTCGTATAAAGAAGCGGCAGGATTTTTGGGGTTCATAGCATTGCATTTTAAATTTTGCTGGGCTAAATATTCTAAA